TCCATCCATCCATCCATCCATCCATCTATCCATCATCCATCCATTCTCCATTTCCCCATCCACCCCCATCCATCCTTCCATCCATTCTCCATTTCCCCATTCACCCCCATCCATCCATCCATTCATCTGTCCATCTATCCATCATCCACCTTTCCATCCTCACTCCTCCTGCTTAATCCACCATCCATCCATCCATCTCTATCTATGCATCTATCCAACCACCATTCCAAAAATGTTTATCGCAAGGCAACTGTGAGCCCAGTTCACAGTTCAGCCCGGGGATACAGTTCAGCCCCTTAGAAAATTCAGAAGTACTTCAAGATAGACGGCAGAGAAATCCAGGCTTCCACCCAAGCTACATGGGATCCCTGTGCTGAGGCTGAGGATACAGACCAGACATGGGCCTGGGTCACATCTGCTCAGTTATCACAGGTAACTGCCCTGCTCCCTGAGAAGGGCGACTTCTGATTAAACGATTGATAGTAACAACAGGTACGGGTACATCATCTCTGATCTGAAACCCCTGGGGTCGCATATGCTTGGGAATGTGGAACCGTGAGAATTTTAGAGATGCACTGTGATACACAGGCACATATTACAGAATATCCCCAGAGGTACCTGAGATAATGATGTGATCAAGCACATCCACAGATCTCCAGTGAACTGTAAAGTAGGCACAGTAAACAGCTTCATGTCACATGGGGTCAGGTTTTAGTGCCGCAAGTTAGGTGAATGGACTGGGGGGAAAAAAAAACCTTTGGCTGCCAGAGCTCTGGAACAGGCTTCCTTTATCTCCAAGCTGGTACCCCAGTCTCTGGATGCAGAGTTGATGTTCAACTCTGGATCTAAGAACCTGGCATTCTCTTTCTGAGAAACCTAGTTTTTTCACCACCACCATTACCAGTGGAGGGGGGCCACCCACTATGGGATTCCATTAATTCGGGTGGAAAGCCCAATCATCCAGCCTAGGCTATGGAGATTTTTGGGTGATGGGTTTCAAAATGACAAAAGGACTCCCATTTCTCTCTGGCACAAGTTAAGGACTGCTAAGGGGTGCCTGGGTGGCTCGGTCAGTTAAGTGTCCGACCCTTGATTTCAGCTCAGGTCATGATCTCATGGTTTGCCAGTTCAAGCCCCACATCGGACTCTGTGCTGACAGCATGGTGTCTGCTTGAGATTCTCTCTCTCTCCCTCTCTCTCTGCCTTTTCCTTGATCGCATGCTCTCTCTCTGTCAAAATAAATAAATTTTTTAAAAATTAGTAAAAGAGAAAAAGATAAGGACCGCTCAGCCAACAGGGTTGAACACCTGTCAGCGCGCTGACAGCATCCGATCCCAGGATAAGGCTGCTGGGGGGTTGATCAGAGTGCTGCTAGCACAGGGGCATTGCAGAAAAACAGGGGCATATGCACTTCAGGAAGTAAGCAGCTCCTATCCAGAAATGCCCACACTAATGTCTGTCCTGAATAATGTCACTCATACCTCGGCAGCTCTCCAAGGCCAAAAATAACTGACCCAGTAAGTCTGATGCTCTTTATCAACTCTGACCCATCCGCCTATCCATGACACGGAAGAAGTTTCTCCCTTCTCCCGTCTCCCTAAGGTCTATATGACTCAAATGGTTTGCACTCGCTCCTCTGCATAACCAACATTTACACGTGGGACATACCTCCCCAACTAGCTCTTAAGTACTGGACAGGAAGGTCCTGCTCTGTCCTCGGAGCCTAGCACAGAGCTCTCAAGAAGTAGCTTCGAATGAGTGGACACTCACTCTCTCTGCTCAGCTGATGCCCTGCTTACCTCATGGCCCCGCTCGCTCTGAGTGGCAATGCTAGTTGTCTACAGTGCTTCTGAACCTTAGCTTTCTGCGAGTGCTTCTGTATTTCTAATTTCCAAGATTTTTTATGAGGACGCAATTAGAGTGTAATTAGACAAAGAGACAATCATTCAAAACGTGCTTTTAAAGCGGCAGTCGCCACAGCTGCGTATCTATCCACAGCAGGAGTGACGGGTCCCGCAAATTTGCTGGGCGTCTCCCTTTGTGACTACCTGCCTTCTGCCCCTATCACCTCACAACCCACGCCTTTCGTTAAGTGTCCCCTAAGTCATGTGCACGAATCGTCAGAAAAGGTGGGACTCACAGCTGCTTCCCAGGGTTGAGAGAGCCACGGTCTATCTCCCGGTCGAACTCGGTGCGGATGTCTTCGAGGGACCCGTCGTCCCCAAAGGCCCCCCACTCCGTGTTGATGCACATCCTGCCCTCGTCGCCTTCCACCAGGTCAATGTGCCTCAGTTCCTCCATGTAGCACGCGTTGGTGCCAGTGCCTGGGAGAGAGAGACACGATCAGAAGGTGTGACCACCACAAAATCAGGAGACGAGGCCGTGCCCTCCGGACACACCAGCCGAAGGGACGGATGAGGAGGAGGTGACGTTACCAATGATGAGGCCGACTTCGCACTGCTGGTCGTCGTAGCCACAGGTCATCATGGTCCCCACCGTGTCGTTCACCACAGCCACAATGTTGGCATCGTAGTCCTGGGGACACATGAGGGGGTGTCACCGTCCACTCTCGCATGGGAGCGGAGGTCACCAACCTTCAAGAGAGCGTGGCAAGAGAGCTCCCGTTTCCACCCCTGCTCCTGGGAGTGGCGCTGCTCTCGTTCCTGCCGGCACTCGAGTCGGCTGGATCAGAGCGCGGTAATTACATTAGGGAAACTGCACAGTCATCTTAATTACCTGGCTTAAGAGTCTTTCCAGAGCGGATCTTGCGCACAGAGCCACAGCCCTCTACAAAGCACCGCACCACATCCGCGCGCTGACTGCCCTCGTTCCGTGCGCGCCGGCGGCACCCGGCCGCGTCAGCTCCCCGCACGGCCCAGCGCTCCCCCCGCCCAAGGGCCTGGCTCCTTCGGGCGGCACTTCGGAGACCCCTGCTTTGAGCCACCCCAACCTTCGGGGCCGTGGACCCCCACCGTTCATCTGCCTGGGTCTTCGAGACACCCACGTGAGGCCTCAGGCCGTGCGCTCCTGCCCCGCGGAAGGGCCTGGTCTGTTCTAGATCACAGACTTCTCCCCACACTCCCCCACCTCCAGGCGGCCCCGAAAGTTACCCCGCGCTTTTTGATGGCTTTGTTAAGCAGCTTCACCACATCCATTCCCTCCACTCCGCTCGCTTTAAATTTCTTTGTCCAGGTGATCAGGATGGCCTGCAAAGGAGAGCAGATGGGGGTTGGACGAGGGCCGGGAGGCCTCCAGAACCCCCAGGTCCCCGGGGAGGCTGCTCAAGACTAGTGACAAGGCAGAGGCCGAGAGAGGACAAGCGGTTCAGCCAGACTCCATTTAAAAAGAGAACAAGAGGGGCGCCTGGGTGGCGCAGTCGGTTAAGCGTCCGACTTCAGCCAGGTCACGATCTCACGGTCCGTGAGTTCGAGCCCCGCGTCAGGCTCTGGGCTGATGGCTCAGAGCCTGGAGCCTGTTTCCGATTCTGTGTCTCCCTCTCTCTCTGCCCCTCCCCCGTTCATGCTCTGTCTCTCTCTGTCGCAAAAATAAATAAACGTTGAAAAAAAAAAATTTAAAAAGAGAACAAGAGAAATCCCGTCATTGCCTGATCACCCCTCCCCACCTGCAAGCCAGGTCCCGGCTTCCACAGCCCCAGGGAAAGAGAGGCAGAGCCAAGTTGGGCAGGAAAACAAAATGCCAAGATAATCCTTGGCTACTGAACTTCCAAAGCCAGGTCCTAGAGTTAGCAGGGGAATAGCGACTAAATACGATGTATGCCTCGTCCCCGACTTGGGACTTTAACCCCCGTGTGGGAGCAGCAATACAATACGATCCATTTGTGCTTGTGGATTAATGGACAGACATCAAAAAGGAGAGACAGCCAGCGGTCATTCACTTGGGAATGGGGAAGGGTCAGAATTTTACTTTTTACTTTGTACCTTCATGTTGTTTCAATAGCTTTACGTATTGCTCTCGTATTCTTTTTAATCCAAGATACTGAACAAAAGAATACTTGTTACACTTGAGTGTTGCTCTCTGAAAGGAGAAAGCTGCCATACACGCGGCAGGGCTGGGAAGACTTGTTACTGCTCACGTCCCGTGGGCCCCTGGGGGCTGGGATGGGAGTTTGCCCATACACGGGCTGCCCCGGCTCACGGTGAAAGCCACGCGGCCTGGAAGGCGCACAGAAGGGTGCGTGTTTGGGAGAGTTTGTGGTTCTTTGCTCGGCAGCGGCCTGCTGCTAAGCCAGGCATTCCAAAAATCCCTGGACACTGCTTTCTTCCCCTCAATCCCAACCCCCAAGAGGCCTCCGAGAATGTTGTGGAAGGAATGCGGGGCTGGAAATCAGCAGGCGAGTCCTTTTCTCACACCTCTGCCCGTTTCCTTGTGGGCAGCTCCCCGAATTCCTCTGAGAGTCACTTTGCTCACCTGTGGGACAAGGCAGCTGGTCTAGATCTGGACAATCTTGAAGATTCCAGGCATCCCTGAGGAGTGGGCAAGGCCCCCTGGATGGCTAATTAGTCTGCGGTCCGCCGGCTTCTTGGCAGGCAGCATGGCCCGGCCTAGGAAGCCCTCCCCGGATGGGGGTCAAGGCCTGTGGGTGGGGGCCCTGCCTCTAGCTCCTCTGCCTGCAAAGCCCCCCTACCGGGCTATCTGCCCTGCTCTGGGGGGCTCTCCCGCTCTGAGGACATTCTCTCCCCCTTCTGCCATGCCTTCTTCCCGGGAAGATTGCACCTTCGGGGGGGCAGGCCCCATCTGCTCCCCGTTCTCTCCCAGGGCCTAGCCCCGCACGGGGATAGCACTTGGTCAACAGCCACCGGTGAACAAAGGAGCAAGCAAATGAGTCGCTACATTCTCAAGCCGTCCCCCACCTCTCACGGTGGGAGGGGATGTCAACACTGTCTCTGCCCAGGGGGCGTGACTGTCACGTCTCCACTCTCAGAAGCAAAGGGAAACTTAGCATCAACAACAGGCTTTGGGAAAAGGTTTGCGAAGGCACCCTAGAAGCGAAAGTGACATGAACACCTTGGAGGTGTCGCAGGGCCAGATACCAGAGTCTAGAGTGGCCCTCGCGGCCCTTTTGGAGACAGGAGGACAGCAGTGTTTCGAGGTCTTTAACTGGGGGGAGCGGTCGGGGGAGCAGGGACTAGGTGAGGGGGTGCCCAGGGATTCTGGTCCTAGATCTGCCATTAATAAGACCTGTGACCTTGGGAGGCTTCCTTTCCCATCTGAGGAAGGAGGGGCTTGGCCTGCTGAGCTCTCAAGCCCCTTCTCGCTCTAGCGTGACATAATTACACAAGTCAGACAGACGGAAGGGCTCCAGGAGCATGACGCGGTGCCCAGGACAGGGCACTGACCCGAAGAGGCACAGGGGAGCTGCCCAGGAGTGCAGAGGGCACCACAATGTTACCATCCTGCACAGGCTCTGGAGCCACACTAGTGGCTCCCCACAGCTAGCTCTGCCCACAGCTGGTCTGGGCTCTGCTCCCTCCTGGCCGGGTGGTCTTGGGCAGGTTCCTAATCCCTCCACGCCTCAGTTTCCTCAATCTGTAAACCGGGAACCGTAAGCACTTCACTCACGGGGTGTCTGAAGATCACGTGTGTTAACTGTGACGTACGCCTCAGGACGGAGCCTGGTACCCGATGGCCCCTCCGGAATGTCAACCATCGGGGGTCCCTGTTATAGGAGTCTGTTCACAGGTTGCCTGTGTGTGTGTTTTGTCTCTCCATGAAGAAAAGGCACAAGGTCGCATCTACTTATTTTGTATCCCGGCAGTATGCTGAGGTACAATGGGGCCACGGAGTTATACCGGAGTCCTTCCTTACTAAACAGGTGAATGAATGAATGAATGAATGAATGGACAGCAAGGGGGTGCAACGATCCACCTGGAGGTCAGAAGGGGAACCAACAGCGTCTCTGGGGCTGGAGCCAGGCACTGGCAGAAGCTGTGGAGAGGCGGCCCTGGGCCCGAGGCATGGGATCCTGACCAGATTCCCTGGTACCAGGATGGCCTCCAGGTAAACACCACGCAGTACATCTCTGACAGAAGGCTTGGCAGCCTCTCTCACTGTCACCAAACCTACCTTCCCTTCCTTCACTTGCTTGAGCTTCACAAATGTCTCTACTTACCTAATGGCCACAAACACCATGATTCGTCTCTAGAAGTATGTAAATCACTTAAGTAATTGACGGATAAACACAAGATGGTGACCTCACGTTAACTCCTACAAATGTTTCTATTTAAGAAAAATACGAGACATGCAGGCCATCCGGTGAGCAAAAGGGAAAAAGAATCAGGTCAAAGGGCTCATCAGCTTTCCCTCTTTAGGGCTTCTGTGGGGTCCGCCAGTCCCAGCGTGTCCTTACCTCGTCTATTTTGGACTGCCGACAAGGGAAGGAAAACGTGAATCCCACAGGTAATTTCTTGTCCTTGATTTTCTTCTTCTCCATGAAGTCTCCCAGGCACTCGGCGACGTGATCGAAAAGCTAAAGAAAGCGCAAGAGCAGTCAGGACGGGGACAGGGGACAGGGGACAGGGGACCGGGCATTTCAGGGAAAGAGGTAAACAATTCCCTGTGCAAGAGGGAAAAGAGCGCCCCTCTGGGAAAGCCGCACTGGCTGTGAAGGCTAGAGAAAGAGTCCCTTACAAGGAGACCTCCCTGCGGGCCAGCACAGCTCAGGAAACGGTTCAAACCCTTTCATCGGGACCGGCCCGTGGGCGGTCATGGTCTGCCTAAGTGGGCGCTGAAGAAATTTTAAAATAAGAGGAAAGGGGCGCCTGGGTGGCGCAGTCGGTTAAGCGTCCGACTTCAGCCAGGTCATGATCTCGCGGTCCGTGAGTTCGAGCCCCGCGTCAGGCTCTGGGCTGATGGCTCAGAGCCTGGAGCCTGTTTCCGATTCTGTGTCTCCCTCTCTCTCTGCCCCTCCCCCGTTCATGCTCTGTCTCTCTCTGTCCCAAAAATAAATAAACGTTGAAAAAAAAATTAAAAAAAAAAAAAAATTAAAAAAAAAAAAAAATAAGAGGAAATCACCTCACCCTCCAGAAGGCACAGGCAGTGGTCTCCATGGCCCCCTCCCAGGTGGGGCATTTTCCGGCCCCTTCCCTGTATCTGTATCCCTGTCTCCCGCCGTCTGTGTAAATTCCCAACGCTACGGGAGGGTCACAGCGTCTAGCCCACCTGAGCGATTCAGCAATCTTCAGACGGTCATACTTTTACTCTTTCCTGAAGCGTGACACGCACACGTGGAAAAGCGCACACATCCTTTAGGCGCAGAGTTCACGGATTCTCAAAGGCTCGCCCGCCTGTGTCACCAGCACCCAGACGCCTCCCTCACGTCCCCTGCAGTCACTGCCACCACCTAACCCCACAAGGGCAGTCGGCAGCCACTCTGACTTCCAGCACTCTGGATTCGTTGTGCTGCTTTTCTGTCACACATAAATGCAACAAGGACATGTTCTTTCACTGGACATTATGTGTCAGAGAATCGTCCGGGCTGAGGTGTGCCTTTAGAGACCATTCGCTCTCACTGCTGCATGGGATCCTGTGGTATGAACACACCACGATTTGTTCAGTGGATTTTAGTTTTAGTTTGTCTGCTCCACAACACATTGCCTGGGGTAAACACACGCATCTTAGAATCCGCTGGAAAGAACACAGAACGCTGTTTCCCTAGCCTCTGTATGAATACTGTCCATGATGGAAGGCTCACCACCTCTAAGCCAACCTTTTAGGATCAAATACCTCCCCTTGTCTCAAATGCATCCAGAATCAGGGTGGCTGGGTGGCTCAGTCGGTCAAGCATCCAACTCTTGATTTCAGCTCAGGTCATGATCTCACGGCTCAAGAGTTCGAAACCCATGTCGGGCACACTGATAGTGTAGAGCCTGCTTGGAATTCTCTCTCTCTCTCTCTCTCTCTCTCTCTCACGCACACACACACACTAAATGAATAAACTTTAAAAAAATAAATAAATAAAATACAATGCATCCAGAATTGAATATAATGTTTCATATGTGTTCTGAACACAGGAACGCTTAGTGGAATGAAGAACCTCCCTTTTCCTTAGCTCTATACCTTCATTAATGTAATCAAAGTATACATACGCTCTTTGGGGCACCATGCCACAGTCTAGGTCACCCTCTGTCTTTTTCACATGGCTGTTATTACACTAGACCTCCCTCATGTACAGGATTGACACAGCTACAGAGCTTCTAGAAGGCCAGAAGAAGGCAGTGTTGGCAGAGCTAACCACATGGTCACAGGAAGCAACCCCAGCCCGTGTACCCAGACAAGGCTATCTTCCCAAAGGCTTTCCTTGCAGGGATATCCTTGAGAGGGGGCCAGAAGTCATTATTCCTATTCCCCAACTTCCCCCAGATGCTCCCGACCTAGCTCTAAATTCTGACTTTCCTGCCAGCGTGAAGGAAAACCTGCCGATTCTGATCTAGGAGCCTCTGTCCCTGAGTCACTATTACTCAGACGATGGCTGCAGCCAGTGAGTCCGACTAAAGAGACACATGACCACCTTCCCTGGAGAAGCCCGGCTAAGCTTCCTGCGACCTACATTTCCAAGTAATATAAACCCATTCCTAAGTCCGTCAGCAAGCCCCGCGTCATCGGCTGTCACAAGCTCCAGGCCCCCCTGTGGCCCTCAACCGAGAGGGCTGGGTGAGAGGAAGGCAGGCTGCAGGCAGGAAGGATCAGGGAGAACGCAGGCTGCAGGAACGGATTCGCACGGGGGAGGCGCTGTAACCAGCTCCCAGACCCAAACGGAACACAGCCACCCCCAAGGGCTCTGTCGAGAAGGAAACGCCGCGGTTGTGAAACGCCCACAGTTCCAGGAGCCACAAGCCTGCTCAAAGAGACAGGAAGCCACCGCCACACTAAGTATGCTTGTGACCAACCAGGCGGGGAAGTTACCCGGCCTCGCTGGCCTCAAAATTTCAGGGTCTAAAAAGCACTATTTTCCCCCTCCTAACAACATGATCATGATTTTAAAAATCCCCACACGGAAATTCAGTCTCTCCAGTTGAAAATGGCAAACAATGACTAAAACAAGAATTTAAACATTTATCATTCAAAATTCCCAAAGCTAAGTGATGTTTTAAGAAAGGCTGCATTTATGCTTCCAGACTTATTAAAGCTTAAAGCTGAACTGAGCCTCTGGGATACCGTGTGTGTGTGTGTGTGTGTGTGTGTGTGTGTGTGTGTGTGTGTGTGCGCGCGCGCGCAGAGAGGAGGGGGAGAAAAAGATAAAGCAAATCTGGATGAGGGCATATAGGGGAGCTCTTTGTGCTTATCTTAAAACTTTTCTATAAGTTTACTATTATTCTAGATAAAAGTGTAAAACTCTATTTAAATTCCTGCACATTACAGAACGTGGAATCACAGCCCCACGAATTCAGGACTGTTCACAGACTGTGAGTCCGGGCACAGTGGGGCCCTTGGCCTCCACCCTCCAGGATGGTCAGAGATCTCAGAAAAATGGGCCACTAATACTTATGTCTAACTTCAAACCAAACTTCTGGAGGAGAGTTTCCTGTTTCATCCTTATTCTCAACTGCCAACCTTCTTCTTCATCCCCTGGGCCCTCCTCCTTGCCCACAGCCCTCACATTTCCTCACCATCAAAAACTCTCGATAAAGACAATAAAGACAAGACCCAGCCTGAGGGTGTTCCACGTTGTTAAAACAGAAACATCTGGAGCCGGACTGCCTGGGTGCAGACCCCAGCTCTATCACTTATGAGCTGTGTGACCCAAGGGGCTGGTCACTTGACATCTGAGCCTCAGTTTTCTCATCTGTACAATGGGGAGAATGATGACATCTGCCCCAGAGGGTCACTGCGATGGCTAAAGGAGTCACTCCACGCAAAGTGCTTACAGCAGGGATGTGGACCTAACGAGCATCATGGAAGTATTGCTGTAAGAACACACGACCGTTACCACCATTATCACCATCCTCGTCACCTTTTCTTTGCAGACCGCAGACCGTTTGAAAGGGGAAGAGGAAGAGACAGACAGCAGGAAACAAAGTGATCCTGGAGCTGAGAAGACAGAGACAGAGGCTGGGACAGAGGAGGTCCTGCGGGCGCCGGAAGAAGGAAGTCACTGGGCAAATGAATATAGCCAGTGGGCACCCTCTTGACAAGCCCTGCTCCTCAAAGGTGAAGTCACACAGCACCAGGAATGTCTTGGCCCAGGGAGAGAGTCCTGATGGTGAGGGCACCAAGCAGACGCGGCTTGACCCCGGGACGTGGGGAACAGACAGTAAGAGGTCGGTGCTGCCAAGCGCAAAGAGCAGGACCCAAGGCGGGGCTGCGGGCCACCTGCACAAAGGAATAATGAGCAGCCACTGGGCGGGGTTCGGGGACCCAGCAGCTGGCAGCCCTCAGGCCCACCTCGGACGAATGGGCCAGTTTGTGCGGCCGAGTAGGGGAGGCACGGGCAGGGGAACCTCCAGGCACGGCCATCCGGTGAGTGATACACTCGTTTCAGTGGCCGGCTGAGCAGCGGTTCATCTCTTCTGGCGTCTTCTTCAATGCTCTCCCTGACACGGTCGGACAAGCTCTCACCCCAGACCCCCAGGAGCAGGTCAATGGCTGGGATTAGCCCTTTTCTCTCAGACCAAAAATAAAACACAACAAAAAAACGGCAGGCAGCTTGCTCTAGGACCCACCCGCGTTAATTCAGAAACAACACGGTCAAGAGGAGTCAAGAGGAGAAGGCTCCTGGGTCTCATCTCAAAGTCCAGCTCAGAACAAATGGGTTTTCTGGAGAACTTAGTCATGAACCTTGACGTGAACACACCCTTCCTAAAGCAAATATTTGGCAAGCTCTGAATACATATCCTGAGCAGCAGCCATGACTCAGAAGGCAAGCAACAGGCTGCAGGAGCCAGTATATCTACAGGCCCACGGCAGGAGCGGCTCCCGGGGACAGGCTAACGGGACACCGAATGACGGAAAACCGTGACCACCGGGTCCTCGGTGAGCTAGGCCCCACCACTCACCACAACCAGACAGACGGGACAAGGGGAACGGGCCCTTCTGATCATGCCCACAGCCCCTTTGCCAGCTAAGGAAGGCAGCCCTTCCCGGGGGGGGCCCCATGAAAAGGAGGGGCCTCAGGTATCAAATGTGAGGGAAGGGGGTGGTGACATTCTGTACCAAGGACTCTTTAGGAGGCTATTAAATCCGGTAGCCAGGAGCCCCTGACTAGCCCTAGGGCCATGAACTCAAATGCCTGCTGCCGCACAAGGTGACAGCCACACCCGGGGAGGCCTGGGCCCCTGGTGAGCTGGGTGAGAAGGCCAATGCCTTGGAAGAAGGGGCGTTTTCACCCACGGGCTCTGCTAAACCTGCGCTGGGGAGCCAACCCCAGGATCCTTAGAGAATGAACACATTTACCCACAGAGCTGCCGGGCTCCCTCCTCACACCTTCCACACTGTGCAAGTCCCAGTGACCCTCTCCCAGCCACCAGTTTACCCAGATGGTGGACTCTCTTTAGGTGGTCAAACCCTTCCACCCAAGAGCCCCTCTCCACGTGAATCTACAAGGGACTCCTTCCAGGAACTCAGATACCAACGCTTGGGGGTCTGGCTCCTGCATGGGAGCGCACTGGGGCTGATGGGAAGGGAGCGGGGACCCACCTGGCTTCCACTGCCGTGCACGATGTTCTCCGGGGTGTCATAAATCTCGGACTCCATGTGAACATTCTGGTTTTGCTCATGATTCACTTGCACCCTCAGAATTCGAAAGGAAGACCCGCCAAGATCCAGGGCAATGAAATCTCCCTTTTCTGTTTAGGGAGACAACAGGTATCGCATCAGGTTCACGTCACAGGAAGACCCCGCACTTTTGCCAGCTTCTCGACAGGGTCTGCATCCCCCATGCAAACCTCATCCAACCACTGCCCTGGCTGGAAAGTGGGCCAGGGAAACCCTCCCAGCCTGGCATGCAGCAGGCCAGCTCCACGCAGAGGAACGCAAGTGCTGAGCTCTGTACAAAGCCTCGCTCCAGCTTCTCTAATTCCCTATCCTTCCTCCCAGACAGCACTGTTACCTATAAAATAAAAATAAAAACATGGGGCGCCTGGATGGCTCAGTCGGTTAAGCATCTGACTTTAGCTCATGTCATGGTTCATGAGTTCGAGCCCCACGTCGGGCTCCGCGCTGTCAGCATGGGGCTTGGGATTCTCTCTCTCTCTCTCTCTCTCTCTCTCTCTCTCTCTCTCTCTCAAAATAAACTTAAAAAGAATTTTTTTAATTAACAAAAAATAAAAACAGCATTTCAACTCAGAGAAAACCCCACATCTGAGGTCCACCCCATGCCTTGAGTTCCTTCCACGTTATGGAGTTCACACCTCCACTTATTCCCCTGGGGGATTTTTTTTTTTAATTGTGGTAAAATATAAAATTTACCACTGCAACCATCCTTAAGTAGCATTAAATACAACGTTGTGCAACCATCACCTCCATCCATCTCCAAAACTTTTCATCACCCCTAACAGGGTCCTGAAGCTCTAGAACCATTAAACAGTCGCTCCCCACTCCCCATCCCCTAGCCTCTGGTCACCACCTCTCTACCTTCTGTCACTACAGATTTGCCTCGTCTAAAGATCTCACAGAAGTGGAATCACACAATACTTGTCCTTTTGTGTCCAGCTTATTTCGCTCTGCATAGTGTCTCAAAGGTTCATTTTGTAACAGGTGTCAGAGTTTCCTGCCTTTCTGAGGCTGACATTCCACTGTATGTAGCTACGTTTGTTTATCCATTCACCTGGCAGTGGAAATTTGTATTGTTTCTACCCAGGGAATGTTTTTAGCAGAAGTCCCTCTTCGTCACTTAAGAGTAACTGGCTTGATATAGTTACATCCCTCAGGTCCGATATGTGCAGTAACTGGTGTGTGCCTGTCTTACAGATGATAAGACTGTGCACTGAGGCCACCAGACAGCAGCAAGGGAGGTAGCATGGGAAGGGTCACAAACCATTAAGCCACCATCTAACTTTCTCTACCCTGTTTCTCATTAGTAATTCTCACACATGCTTCCAAAATATTGGTTAAAATCTGTTAATTTTATTACTGATCCCCACTGTCCTAATGTATATTACACCAGGGGGGACAGCCACCCCTGACATCCTGAGCCCCACTGGTCCCCTAAAGTCTCAGTCCTATAGCAGTATAAATACAAGGCTGCTCGGGATCTCATTTTCCTAGGGAAGCATCCATAATACTCCATTTTTAGGTAACAGCACTATGGAGATATAAATCACCTTACAATTCACCCACTTAAAGTATGCAATTCAATGGTTTTTATTTTTTTTAATGTTTATTTATTTATTTTTTTTAATTTTTTTTTCAACGTTTATTTATTTTTGGGACAGAGAGAGACAGAACATGAACGGGGGAGGGGCAGAGAGAGAGGGAGACACAGAATCGGAAACAGGCTCCAGGCTCCGAGCCATCAGCCCAGAGCCCGACGCGGGGCTCGAACCCACGGACCGCGAGATCGTGACCCGGCTGAAGTCGGACGCTTAACCGACTGCGCCACCCAGGCGCCCCAAATGTTTATTTATTTTTAAGACAGACAGAGAGTGAGCAAGGGAGGAGCAGAGAGAGAGACACAGAATCTCAAGCAGGCTCCAGGCTCTGAGCTGTCAGCACAAAGCCTGATGCGGGGCTTGAACTCACAAAATGCAAGATCATGACCTGAGCTGAAGTTAGACACTTAACCGACTGAGCCACCCAGGCGCCCTTTCAATGTTTTTTAGTATATCCAGTTATACAACCATTGCCACAAACCAGTTTTAGAATGCTTTCATCACCTCAAAAAGAAAATCCTTCACTGCTTCTCAAGCAAGCCCCTCTCTCCCCATTGTCCTTAACAACCATTAATCTACACTCCGTCTCCACAGATTTGTCTTTTCTGGACAGTTCCTGTGAATGGAATCCCCACAGTAGGTGGCCTCTTGTGACCAGCCTCTTACACTTAGCAAAACATTTCTAAGGTTCATCATGTTGTCACATGGCCAAATAATAATCCACCGTATGGATGTACCTCATTTCATTTACCCATTTGTCTGTTGGTGGGGTTGTTTCTACCTTTTGGCTATCACAAATAATACTGCCATGAATATTTCTGCACGAGTTCTTGTGTGGCCCTGTCTTTATCTCCTTCGGGTATACACCTAGAAGAAGGGTTGCTCTGTCAAATGTTTAACTTTCTGAGGAACCATCACTGGTTTCTGAAGCAGGTCCACCAGCTTCCATCCCACCAGTGATACGTGATGTTTCCAATTTCTCTACATCCTCAATACTAATTATCATCTTATTTTATTTTGACTTGCATGTCTCTGGCTAATGACAATGAGCACCTTTTGTCAGGTGCTTCTTGGCCATTTTTCACGTTCTTTGGAGAAATGTCTATTCAGATCCCCTGGCTTGTTTGAAAACTTGGGTTGTCTTTTAAGTGTTGAGTTGTAAGAGCTCTTCATGTTCTAGACGTGAGCACCTATCAGATACATGATTTGTAAATATGTTCTCTCATTCTGTGGGTCGTCTTTTCACTTTTTTGATGGTGACTTATGAAGCATAAAAGTTGTTCCTTTTAACAAAGTACAACGTATCTATTTTCTTTGGTTGGTTGTGCTTTTGTGGTCATATCTGAGAAGCCACTGCCAAATCCAGGGTCACAGAGATTCGCAACTAGGTTTTCTGCTAAGAGTTTTACAGTTTCAGCTCTTAAATGTAGGGATTTGACCCATTTTGAGTTGATTTTTCTCTACAGTGTGAGGTAGGGATCCAAGCTACTTCTTTTACACGTGGATATCCAGTTGTCCCAGTGCCATTTGCTGAAAAGATTGTTCTTTCCTTCATTAAACAGTCTTGGCACCTTTGTCAAAGATCAAGAGACCAAAAAAGGGTTTCTGAACTCTCAATTCTTTTTTTTCCCCCAATTTTGAGACATAAATGACATACTGAACTCTCGATTCTGATCCACTGATCTATTATCCTGTGTCAGTACCACGGTGTTGTGATTAACGTGGCTTTGTAGTAAAATCTGAAACCTGGAAGTAAGAGTCCTCCAACTTGGTTCTTTTTCAAGATTGTTTTGGCTATTCTGGGTCCCTTGGGGTTTTTTATTTTATTTTTTAAGGTAATAGTTAAAAAAAAAAAAAAAGCTTGTATTTGATGCACGTTTGTATCTGATTCCACCAACCTGTAAGCTGACACACTGCTCTATTTCTGGAACGTAGAACGGTGTCTGACACACGGTAAGAGCTCAACAAATACTTGGACTAATGCGGATGGGAAAGGAGTCAATGAACGAACCAAATGGTTGAATTTTCACCATTCTTACCCTTCCAAGTTCCTGGAGGGAAAAACCTGGGCTTCTGTGCGTCTATCCATGGCACCCAGGGGAGCTCAATAAATGCTTGGTAGCTACTCGATCATGGGGGTTGGTGGCCCAGTCATCCATTCATTCATTCATTCATTCACTCAAGGAACCCCTGCTTATTGCTCATTAAGCACAAAGCAGTGATGCCCCACTGGTTGGCTGGTTTCTTAAATAACAGAATTACGGAGAATTATTCGTCTATATCATACAATTCATCCATTTTCTTTTTTTTTTTAAGTTTTTGTTTTCATTCCAGTTCTTTACAAGTCACCCGTTTTAAAGTGTAGAATTCAGTGGTTTTTAGTATATTTACAGGGTTGTGCAACCATCACCACCATCTAACTTTAGAACATTTTCAGCATCCCCAAAACAAACTCTGTACCCACGAGCAGTCACTCTCCACTTCCTGCCAACCCGTCTTATCCACCAACAACCATGAATCTGCTGTCTGCCTCGACAGATGTCCCTACTCTGGACATTTCATATCAACAGGTGGTCTCTGATGGATGCTTCTTTCAACTACTACACATGACTTGCTTTCAAGGCTCAACTGTGTTGCAGCAGGTATCAGCACCTCATCCCTTTCTATGACTGAATTATAGTCCATAACATGAATATACCACACGATGCCACTGGTCTTAAATCGCTTCTATGGTCCAAAGGCAGCAGACCAAGGGAGAATGTGGGAAGTAGGGGGTCACAGATTTGTAGGGAATTCTGACCCTGACTTTGTGGGTTGTTCAAATCAGTTTACAATTTCCTTTGCTCCTTCTTCTTTTTTTTTTTAAGGTTTTATTTTTAAGTAATTTCTACACCCACCGTGGGGCTCGAACTTACAACCCCAAGATCAAGAGTCATGCGCTCTACTACTGAACCAGCCGGGAGCCCCTGTTTATAGAGTTGTCTTACAGCTCCCATCAGAACCCTAACCCCCATGGTGCTCACTGCTACCCAGTTAAAAAAAAACTGGCTCCAGCATGAGGTAGCTCCTCCCTGGAGGATGAATCACTAAAATATCGAAAGTACTTTATTTTACCCTCAGTTAACATGCATCGAGCCTTTCCGCACTCCAGGTGTTAAGTGCTTCATACGCATCATTTTAAACTCCCTCAAGCCTATGCGGTGGGTACCGCTGTGATATCCCCATTTTGCAGGTAAGCGAGTAAAGGCTGGGAGGGGTTAAGCGATTAGCCCGAGCACCCAGCTGGTAAGCGGCAAAGCCAGGACGTGAATCCAAAGCTCAGATTCATAACTATTGGTTCAAACCGCCTGCTGGACAGACCTCGTGGACGAGGATCCCCACGGCTGACGACAGTGGAGTGAGGCTTTAGCACGGTAAGAACGGCTACCTTTCTTGCTGGGGTTCCTCAACATCCATGACTCCTTGCAGCTTTTGGT